TCATGCCTCAGAGAAGTGGTATCTAAATCGTTTTAAACTGAAACAGGGACAGAATAAGCTGTGCAAATCATTTTCTACTAGAACCTTAATTACATCCTGCAGTGTCTCGTCCTCAGCAAACCACCAGCAATAAAATTCTGCATTTCATTTTAAAAACCGACAAGGCTGGGTTTTTCTATTTTGTTTTCCCCAATTGACATATCCATAATCTAGCCTGGGACTTTGTTCCACAGAATTTTTGTCAAAGGCTCTAGAGAGTGTGCCTGCAACCACTAAATCTTTCTCAGGTTCGCATTCAATTTGCAAGTTATACAACTGTAGCTAAAGAAAGAGACGTTCTGTTTGCAGGAAGGTGTTTGCCAGATCCCCAATGGCAATGGCAAAAAGTGATTTATGATCAGTTTTAGTTAACATGGCCTCTCAAACAGATTTTTAAAAGTCTTTACAGCCGTGGCCCAATGCCAATGCTTTTTCTATAGGAATGTGCTCAATTTCAGTTTGTGGCAATGTCCTGTGACTCAAAAGCAAAATGCAAATGGGTACAATTATTGAATGCATCCTCTTGATGAGACAAAGGGCTTTTTACTTTGCAAACATCCCCCCACCATGGTCCACCACCACAAATTTGTCTTTTCCAGTCTTTGGTTTGTGCGGAGGTGCTGCTGACTTCAGTCCCTCAGTTCACAAGATGCTCACAATTACAGTTCCATGCTTTGATAGTTTAACAACTCCAATTAATTAACGTCTATAGAGTCACAGACATCTAGGAATTCTCCAGTGATGGTGGCCTGCAGGAAAAATAGTAGCTGCAGCAATGACACTGGTAGTGACAAGTGCTGTGTCTTTAGGAGGAAGCAGAACTCTGCTCATCCTTCTGTGCAGGAGTCCTAGGTTTTCTCAACTCCTCCAAGAAAGATGGATTTATCTCTACTGTTTTTAAGGGGTACAAGTAACAAGCCTTAGATATATTCCTGGCTCAATATTGAAAAGTGTATTTACATACTCAATTCACACTAAATAGGTGTCCTTCTTCCTCTTTGGGGCTGCCAATATGAAAAAAAATTTTATGACACTGTCATCACTGTTATGAGCACAGGAATCCTCTGACACATGCAAATCCCTCAAGGGATGAAACCAGTGCAGCTCTTGCATCTTCTCCCAAGCACCAGATGTAGTTGGTTTGTGTTGCTCACACAGCATGCACAACTACTTAAACTTTGACCTTGGGCTTGAGCTACAGATGCCTTCCCCAGTGTTTCTTGGAAGCTCCATTGTTTCCTTTGCCTTAAATCCTCAGGCTGGGTTACTGACTTCCTTCACTGGCACCCTCTGATGGGATTTCATCAAAACCCAGCTCTGGGCTCTCCAGCATTGTTTTGCCCAGTCCAAACCCTAGATTCTGCAGAGCCTTGGTCTGAGCCTTCATTCATGACCCCAAACCTTACTGGGTGTCCTGTTCTGGCACTACACTTCTCTGCAGCTCTCCAGTTGCTGTAACACTTTTATAATTCCCCTCCTTTGCATAAAATAATTGAATATTCAACACCAAACACCCCCAAGCCATGTACTGCAGCTGTGGCCAGCCCTGAATCCTGACAGCCACAATCCAACACCTCTACAGGGCTGCATGTTATGAGACACAGCTCAGAGCCACAGGGAACAGAAGCTCCACAAGGAGCTCACTAAGAGGAAACAATCTTGACTCTCCAGAAGCTCTGTGGCTTCTTGTGAGAAAGACTGGATCCATCCCCAGAAGCCTTGGTAATGTCAGTCACAGGTTTTGGAGCTCAGCAGCCTGTACATTTTCCTTCTTCCCTCTGCTGAGATGGCCATTCTCCACAGGAAATATTCCCCATTATTAGAGGAATTCAGGAAGCCTAGGACTTCCATTTGGCACAAAAGGATGAATTAAAGGAGAACAGCCCCCACTGCCACCCCTGCTCAAGCAGATAGCAGCAAAGAAAAGCCAGACCATAGTTCTGAGAGAAACTCAACATGTAGGAAGCATGTTTTCTTCAACTCAACCTCAAAAGCAGCTTGGAGCACCCTTCTTCTAACCTATGTTGAATATGTAAAGCAAGGACACCAGATTTACAGCCAAGAGATTTTCCACTCGGGGCACATGGAACAGGATGAAAGTAAATTTGTGGGTGTTTATGCTTGATTTGGCAGAGAAAAAAAATGAGGGAGGGGCTGTGTTTGAGGGAGGGTATCAAAGATCAGAGCCAGATGCTCCTGCACGGAGCTCTGGATTTACAGGAAATTAAGAAGGTAGAGAAGGTGAGGCAAAGACTGTGTTTGAAGTGAGAGTCAAGGGGTTCTGAGGCTTACAACCATCCAAGGTGCTTGGGGGGAACTACAGCAAATGCCAAAACCACACCACAGTGGCCTGGGGTGCTTTCATTATACAAAGCCTGGGAGAGAGAGAGGCTGTAAATGTAGCTTCAAAAGAAGCTTCATCTTAAAGTCTTAGCTCCCAGGGCCTATTAAACATTTATGCTGACTACCACTCCTACTATTTGCTTCAGAGAAAGTACCCGAAATAACCTTTGCTACAGAGTGAACTACTACAGCTCTACTGGCTGAGTAGGAGACTAGCAGAGAGCTGTGAGAAACAAACAGAAATGGTGTTGGAAGAGTGTGCTGCTGTCTCTAGTCAGTCAGCCAGGAAAGAAGCAGGAAAATCTGGCCTGGAACCTGAGAGGGAAGACAGAAAACTTTGCTAGAACTAATGAGTGGATTAGTGATGTAGAGATGGCTAAGACTGAGTGAGGCCAGTGGAGGCAAATATAGATACTTAAAAGTATTGACAATTTTTTGGTTTTACCTTACTAAGGTTCACACTTCTGGAGGAGTCTTCAGACCAGCCTCTAGTTGGATCTGTGGCCACTGCAGTTCTAAAAAGAACTGTAGAGGAAAAGAAAGAAAGCATAAATCAAAAGGAAGACAGAGGATCTCAAGGAGAAGATTAAAAGAATGGATTAATTTTCCTGATTTGCTTAAAAAAATGTTTGGCCACGCAACAAGGGTTTAGGATGAGACAGCCAGAAGTACTCAAAGCTTCCACTCTAGGAAGTTGTTACTATTAATAGCAGATAATACACAAAGATTCCCTTATTCCCTCACAGGGACAACCCCAGTAGAGAGGGCTGTGCTGGCACTAGCACCTTCCAAGCAGGTGTTCAGAAAGTCCCTCAGAGTCACTTATTTCAATGGGTGCACACAGGATCCCACAGACTCTGCCTGGAGGAGCTGCTGCCCTCTGGTCACACAGCCAGGGGTTAATCCCAATATTCACTTGGGGCCTTGACAGAGTGAGCAGACTCAGTGCCTGGATTTTATCAGCTCTTGCAAATTCAGCAGAGCTACTGGTCTCTGGAATTTAGCAGTCCTTGGGAAACCTTCATGCTCCTTGTCAGCACATGCTTTTCCTCTTTGGTCTGTTCTCTGGCAATCATTTCTCCACCCAAACCTACAAATACCTACAGGACTGATTCAGTTTCACACAAAAGAGGCCTTTATGACTAGGGGAGTTGGAGGCTGTTGTGGCTAATCAATTCACTCTAGAGAAACTTAGTGTAAATGTGACTCCTTCCTATTAATGAGCAACCACAGCTCCTCTTCCCGAAATCCAAAGTCACCAAACTAGGCTAGTGTTCACATTTGGATATACAGACCCCATGAAGATGGGACAGACTTGCCCATGTTCAGCTTCAGGAAAAAACATTAATTGACTCATCTGGATTAATGTTTGGATGGCATCTGCTTATCCCCAGCCCCTCTAACCTACATTCATTTGGGTGCTTATCAGCATGGATATTGCATCTAGCCCCCAGCTGATAAGCCCTTCTCTTGAAGGATGGCCAAATATGATTGAGCTGACCCAAACTCAACTACCAAACACTAAGCTTTGAATACTGCATTCTAACAAACTATTTTGCAAAGTGAAAGTCCTACACGTTATGCTGATAGTGCTCAACCACCGATTCTCAGTTCTTTCAGGGACATAGAATATCTTGGGTTGGAAGGGATCTTTAAAGATAGTCCAATCTTGATTGAAGGAAATCAACCCGTTGGAATGAGTCCAAAGGAGGGCCACCAAGATGACTATAGCAATGGATGAGCTCTCCTACAAGGAAAAGCTGAGATTATTTGGTTTGCCCAGCCTGGAAAAATACGGCTTGGGGATGACCTAACTGCAGCCTTCCAGTACCTTTCACAAGAGCATGTAGTGACAGGACAATGGGGAGTGGATTACAACCAAAAGAGCATGGGTGTAGATTAGATGTTAGGTAAAAAAACTCTTTACTGGGAAGGTGGTGAGGCACTGGAACAGGTTGCCTAAAGTTGTGGATGCCCCATCCCTGGAAGTGCTCGAGGCCATGTTGGATGGAGCTCTGAGCAACCTGCTCTAGTGGAAAACATCCCTGCCCACGGCAGGAACTAAATGATGCTTAAAGTCCCTTTCAACCCAAACCATTCATGATTCCATGACCCCTTGCAGTCCACAGCCCTGAAATTGCAAAGAAATTGACACAAATCAGTCTGAAATTTACGATGAGTAGTAACGATGAGATTTGTGACTTTAGATGTTCAAATTGAAGCAGGCCTTGGCGACAGCGAGTGGTCGGGCCAGGAGAAAGAGCCTCTTACAGGCTGGACCAGGTGCTTGATGAATCCAGGCGTTTTGGGGGAAATTCTCCCCAAAAAAAGCCCGAGGGGAGCGAGGGCACCCGGAGATGTGCGGGGCTGGCGGGTTCTGAGGGCAGAGCATACCTGGGGGCTATCCCGGCTGCACCCTCAGAGCCCCTCTGGGCAGCGGCTGCTTGTGCAGCACGGCCCCATCTATCGCGACAGGCAGTGCCCGACAGGCCACTCTGTGGCGACACGACAATGTCCCCATGCCCGCCCGCCCCCTCAGCGCTGGGGCGGGAACTACAGCTCCCATGGCCGCGCGGGGCGGGCGCCGCCGCCATCTTGGGCCGTGCGGCGGGGCGGCCATGGCCGCGGGGCGGGCGGCGCTGGCGCTGTGGGCCATGGTGGCCGTGGCGGCCGCGCTGTGCCGCCTGCAGCCCGCCCTGGCGGCAGGTGAGCGGTGGCACGGCGGGACGGGACCGCGGAACGGGGCCGGGGGTCGGGCGGGCGGCTCCCCCAGCACAGCGCCCCGCGGGCTGGAAGGCGCGCCCGAGCCGCTGCCCGCTCCCCGCCTCCCCAGCTCGCCGCTCGTTCTGCTGGCGGGCGGATCGAACCCTTTGGCTTTTCCTTCCTGTGTGTTTTAGATGCCAAGTGGAAAGCGATAACTGGGCAAATTAAGAAAGCCGTGGAAGCCTATGAGCCGTGTGTAAAGGAAAATTGCAGCTGCCACCAAAGGTGAGAGACTGGCTTCCTTTCGACTGTGCAGGTCTCCCGACATAGGGGGGAATACTCTCTGACTGTGCAGGTCTCAGGAAGGAATACTTTCGGCAGCGCTGGTGGATTGGGGATAAGCCAAATAAGGGAATATTTTGGCCCCAAAGTGTCACATCTGTAGCTATGGGTCACACACCTTGTTACCCTCTGCAGCTGCACACACAGCGTGTTAGCATTTCATATAGACCACACAATAAACCAAATACCTAGCTCGTGACATTTCTCTTAACAGCCTGCCTCTGCCTTCTCATTCAATGGGACTGGGGCGTTTGATACCTTTAATCACCATTTATATTTCAAGGAGAGAAGGGAATTTAGGAGTTACCACATCCTTCTACCTTTAGGATTAGGATTTCAGATGCAGAAACACAGATGTCCAACTTCAAGCTTCCTATTTAAAAGTATCAGATGTGCTAACTCATTTTGGGGTTTGAGTGCTATATTGGCTTTCAAAATCAGATGAGTCATATTGAGCTACTGTTTGTACTTTCTGTTTAGAGTTTTTGATATTCATTGCTCTTGAAATATTGATGAGGGAAAGTCTCATCTAGTTGAGCCTTCCAGTCTTTCCTAAGTTCCAAGGTACAGCCTAAAGACATATCCTAATCTTTAAACATACACCCCACCAGCTCCTGCCCACCTTTGGGCCAAACACCTTCCCAAGTGGTTACAACCTCCAAAAATCTGCTGCAGAACATGACAGGCAGTAGTAACATGAAGTGAGGATGGCTGTCAATGTGCCATGGCACTGCAACTCTCTCCCTGTTCTCAAGCTCATCCCGTTTGCATCCATACCAGACTGCTCATGCTGTTGTGGTCAGCATGAGCAGTCTGGTAGGGATGCAATGTCATCTGCACAATGGCAATTCCTGGCACACTTTTACTGCTCTCTATTCAACTAGGAAATAGCAGAATTCTGGAGGTTGGAGGGGACTTCTTGAGATAATCAAGTCCAGCCTCTTGAGATCGTCAAGTCCAACCCTTCTGCTCAAGTAGGGTTGCCAGGACTGTGACCAGTCAGGTTTTGAATGTCTCAACATTAACATGCCAAAAAAACTCTACATCCTCTCTCTGCAACCTGTTTGAGCACTCACACCGTGGGATCACCCTGGCAGTGTTTTCTTAAATGGAAACATTGATGCAATGTCTACCTGAAAGGAAAGAAGGTTTCCTTGGCTGTTACAATCCGACACTGTTGATTACATGCTCCAAGCAGTTAGATCACAGGACTTTTAGAGTAATTTTACATAAGTTGCATCCTCCTTCTGTGTTTTCTTACATGTTCATTAGGTTTGTGCTTCCACACTGTGTTCCTGGAGCTCGCTGGTGGTGTGCAGAAGTCACAGGACATGTGCTGCATAGGCCTGTCCTCCTGGGCCAGCTTCCACTCACCCAGTGTTCCTGGGTGATGGTATTTCATGCAACTAGACTGTTACCTACACTTTTAATGTCTGCACAGTGTGACATCGCGTGAGGAATTTGGTCTTGGTTTGCCCCATCATTAATGGGGAGCCAGAGCACAAGGCTGAAGTGAGATGGAGGGTTTTACCCAAAACATGCCTGGGTATGTCAGGTATTTCTGTGAGAGAGTGACCAGAGTTGTCCTGTGCTGGGCTTTGTGTTCAGACAAACAGCACATAGGTAAAATTGTGAAGCTTGATCCTCTGAGGAACTTCCAAGACTCAAATTCTCACACCAGAGCTCCTAGAAGCTACATGGAGCTTCTTCTAGCTAGAAGCCTGTTCTGCACGCTGCAGTATTTCATACACAATATCCTCTCTGTGGTACATAATAGTGGCTGGTGGTTTTGTTTCAGTGTCTGGAAGCAGGACCTGGCTCCTTTTCGAGGTGGCATTTCCAAGGAGACGATGGCAGACGTGGTGAGCCGCAAGCTCGGGACCCACTACCAAATAATTAAAAACAGACTGTATCGTGAGCAGGACTGCATGTTCCCTGCAAGGTAAGAGCTGTACAGGGGATCTGCTCTCCCTAGCTGGGACAGAAGAAAACTTTCAACACTGTCAAGCTGGCAGCTATCGGGTACAATGATATTTCAGAGGTCTGAATTCCTCATCAGAGCAGGAGCCCGGAAAATAAACTGTTAGGCTTATATGCATCAATAGCAAAGTGTCACTGTTGCACTCCAGTGCACAAATGATTGGTTGGTTGTGGAATCCCTGAGAAATTCAGGTCAGGCCAGATTTTATAGGATGTGTTGCCCCATTGGTGTCCATGCTGCAGTGAGACTTGGAGGATGCTGTAGGCAGTTCCCAGTTTGCCTCATGGTACAGCTTAGGCTCACCATCTCTTCTGGCTCTGTGCAGAGGAAGGCCTGCAAGAGTCTGCAGGAATCTGCCTCCTTATAGCTCTTTTGCCATGTGTCATTTCTCCACAGATGCAGTGGAGTTGAGCACTTCATTCTGGGGATCATCCAGCGCCTCCCTGACATGGAGATGGTGATCAATGTGCGAGACTACCCCCAGGTTCCCAAGTGGATGAAACCCATCATCCCAGTCTTCTCCTTCAGCAAGGTACACACACCTCTAAAAGCGGAGCATTTCCAAGATGGGCATGTTCTTCTTTCTCTTGGGAACATATTTTTGAGGATGGTTCTCTACAGATTTTCTGTGTGTTGAAATTGCTTGCTCCTTCTTGCCCTTTGTTTCCAGTTTTCTGACAGACAGACTTGCAGATCAATTTGATAAATCAGCTTTTCCCCTCATTAGCTTCTCTTCCAGGTCAAAAAGTGTACCTCTGCTGCAGTGGAATGATACACACCTGGGTGGGATATCTGCCAGTATTCCTCCCATTTGCTACAATACCTCTGTTAAAATTGTAGCCGTAGTTTACCCGCAATATCAAGGATTTTTGATCATGTCAGTGGCCGTACAATAATCTCATTTAATGTGAATATTTTAGTCCTTTTTTTGTGGTGCCACAGATGTGTGTTTCTATAACCTTGTCACCTTCTCTGAACCCTTTTCTCTTGGATTCCCTTTTCCACCTGCAAATGTGCGCACATATGCAGAGGTGCACACATGCATGGAAACACTCTTTGCTTCTCTTTTCTCATGAGCCTCTCTGCATGTTCTCCTACCTCTCCCACTATTAAACCTGACTGTAGCATAGTGTCTCATCCTTTTCAGCAAAAGGCTCTTACACCTCAAGCTTTGGCTCATCTTGCTTTGCCTTGGTTTATGCCCTGTATGCCCAAATCTTGCACTTTCATGACAAATCCTGTTCTTGGCTGAACTCCAGCAGGCAGTAATATGCAAGGAGAAGCAATGAACTATTTGGTCTTGCTAGTTCAAACCCAGCTCTGTTTCTGCTAACTTGCAGCATCTTACTCTGAACCTAGGTCTTCAGCTCATGCAATCTGAACCATAATATGATCCATAACTATTGACTACTCCCCAGCAATCCTAAAATTCTCTCTAGATTTTCAGTACAGGCAATAACCATGTTCACTGCTGGATGCAGCAGTAAAGCCAAGCTGTCTTGCCCCTTGATCATAGAACAACCTTAACTCTAACCAGCAGAACCCAAGTTTTTGCAAAGCAGGTTGCATGAGTTTAATCTTTGCAGCTGTGTTCATCATTCTGCCTCTGACTACCCTGCAAGACACTGAGCTCTGCTCTCACTGTTGTCCAGTATCTGAACTGTAACCTCAGCCCTATTTTAATTGAAACGCAGTGATCCAGCCACAGCTCACATTTCAGCAGCCAGTGTTAGGAAGACTTCAGGATTCTGGTCCTATGTGCTTTCTAAAGCTGAAAGTATAAAAGATGGAAATATTTTCCTGTTCTGTGTCTCAGAAAGTTGATCATGGAGCTGTCATGGTCTCTAACCAGTGTCTGGTTGTAGCAGGACTGAGAAAACAGAGAAGCCCACATTCACTCAAGTTGGAAGGGACTGCAGAAGGTTACCCAGTCCAGCACCTTTGCTCAGAGTAGGAACAACTCAGGGCTGCATCCTGCTCAGATCTGATCATCCCTGAGGACATGGCATCCACAGACAGAGTTGATGAATGAAAACACATTTTCCATTAGCTAACTGGAATTCCTCCTCTTGTAATCAAAGCCTGCTGCCACTCAATCTGGCTCTGCACTACAGAAAAGAGTGTACCTCCTCCCGAACTCTCCCATTAGGCATGAGGAGATGGCATTTACATTCCCCCAAGCCTCCTCTTCCTTTGCACAGACAAACCCATTGCTCAGCCCCTGTTCATAAGTCACGTGCACTAACCTCCTAACTACCTCAGTGGCCTTGGACTCTCCAGTACCTCCAGGGGATAGACAGATGGATAATTGTGTAGGAAGTTTACTACTAGGGCAAGGAAGTTGCCCATAGTCTGGTTTCATGGAAGAATTTAGTCTTAAGTGCTGGTCTTCGCTCTGATAATATATGGGGGCTTAAGCAACCAAACAGGAGTGAGGAACTGGAATTCTTACATGACCTGGATATTTGTTACAGTGAATTGTTAAGTTATCTCTAGGAAGTCTGGAATGAACCAAAATCTTGGAAACCTTAATGTCAAAGTGTCTCTAAGTGCCTCTATCTCTGAGGAGGTAATAATGCCTCTTGACTTGTCATCAGAAAAATACACTTGTAGCTACACATAGGCACAAGCCTTTAGAAAGGTGAGTTGAGCTCAAGTCTTTTGCTATTTACTAATCAACTGCATCATGGATCTCTTTTGCTCTTTTCTACATGAAAGTCCTGTGTCATCACACAGCAAGACAAGGCCTTTTAAAAATCATTGAAGCATTTCAGTATTGAACTATGTTCATACAAACCCTGCCCAGGGAGGAGTGGAGTCTCCCTTTCTGTACACATTCTTAACCCACCTGGATGTGTTTCTGTGTATCCTGCTCTAAGTGACTCTGACATGGCAGGGGGTTGGACTGGATCATCTCCAGAGGTCCCTTCCAACCCTGATAATTCTGTGATTCCGTAAGCCCAGCAAATGGTGATTGCAAAGCTCTTTTGGACACATAATGGAGAAAGCCAACAGAGCTCCCAGAAGGAACATTTGTTACTGGTGTGTTGTATTCATATTTCTAGAGTCCCATACTGTCACAATCATATTTCTAGAGTCCCATACCTTCTCAGTGATATTCCTTGGGGGCAGTTCTCCACAGCACAGACTTCTTGTTCTGCTTGTTGCTGCTTCTTAGTTAGGGCTCCTTCCAGGCTGTCCCTGCCTGGCTAAGCCCACCCCCTTTTATTCCAGTTATCTTCACTAGCCACAGCTGCAGCCCAATTCAGGCCATCACAGCTGCAGCCCATCAAAAACAACCGGGGCTTATCAGGGCAAGGCCCATATACAAATATTCAATATACAATACAGATATTCAAATACAATACAGATATTTTACTAGGACTCCTACTATACTGGTGGGCTCAGTCAGTAAAACAAAGTAGATATTACTCTCATTCTTGCATTACTTTCCTTTTTCTCAAGACATCTGAATACAATGACATCATGTATCCTGCCTGGACATTTTGGGAAGGAGGACCAGCTGTTTGGCCAATTTACCCAACAGGTTTAGGGCGCTGGGACCTCATGAGAGAGGACCTCAGAAGGTAGGTTTTGGAAATGGTTATGTGTGGGGGAAGGTGTCATGGAAGACAAAAATGCATCTTGCACTGGCCCATGTTGATGTCCAAGACCATAAGTCTCTTGGCCTGTGATCTGTCCTGCTGCCTCACATGAACTACCTACAGCCTGACTGCTGTATGGGAATTCTCCATGGAAACCTTGGATGATGTCACTGGAAGTTATAATTAGCTCCTCTGTTTGCAAGCCTTTAGTAAGGAATGCAGAGGACAAACTATGCACATCCTTCATGCTGTCAGGGCCAGATTGCTATCGGGTTTGGGGAGAGCAGGTTTGTCAATAAAGTAGCAGTTATCTTTTGCCTGCAGAAATCTCCCCTGACATACAGAAATATTCTTCTTTCTTCTCAGCTACTTCTCTAGGAGCTATGTTTTTTTCACTGCAGGGATGATCCAGGATGTTTGTATAAGCTACTGGAAAGCCAAAGGAAAGCCTTCTTTAGATGTGCTTTTACTTGGGTGTCATTGTGCAGTAGAAAAACCTGGAACCATTCCTAGGAATCAAGAGTCATTACTGGGCTAAACAGAAGACATTTCTGGCTGGGAGTCTTCCTTTTGGCAGGATATTTTGATTTGTTAGCAGAGTAAGGGGGTGCTTCCCATGGGAAGTGACAAACCAAGTGTGCAACACTTAGTGAACACAGAAACAAAATAGCAAAAACCACCTCTATGTAATTGACATCCAAATGCAAAGTTGAATCTTTTGCTCTTCAAAATCTGAAGATCCACGTGATTATTCATAGCTAAAGCTTGATATGTTGTAGTGTAATGGAGTGCAAAGCATTTACTCATCCTTGTGTTTTCACTATAAGGAGATGCAAAGCTTGACCTGCACAGGTAGATCAGCTCAGGGGTCAGGACCTGCATGTTCCACCAGGTGCAGCAGAAAAGCATGGCAGAGTTCTCTGAGAAGTGGTGAGGCAGGTGACTGCACTGGCAGGAAAAAACCCCAGGTGAACAGCTATTTTGAAGGACTTGATTAGGTTTAACATGAAAGTGATTAATAAAAACAATGAACTCTTGTGTTTTAAGTGCAAAACCCTAGGTGGGTTTTTTGTTTCTTGATTGGTAATTCTGTTTTGTAGTGGGAAATGACTGATTAGAAACTCTCTAGTTGTTTTTCACTATCCATATTCACTACAGCAAGATAAAGCCACAGCTCAAAAAGTGGATTCAAAGCTTAGGTAAGCTTTTAATACCCTTCAAGATTTGGTGGAGAGCTGTGTGTAATACATTGTTTTGCCTGAAAGGTGTTCTGGAAAGTAGCCTATATTATATTGCCTTAAACACAATGTTTACAGGAAAACCTGTTTCATTCGAGCTGGGTGAGAGTTTTTTTTATGCTATAATGAAGGAAGTGATTTCCATCAAAAATGAAGAATAGAAAAAGACACCATGCTGTGAAATCTGATGACAATGTTGTTTCATGGTTATATTAAATCATTTATTGCCATGTGTAAAAAATATTTTCAGATCTGCAGAGAAATGGCCATGGAAGAAAAAAATCTCTAAGGGATATTTCCGAGGATCCAGGTGAGCATTTTCTCCTGCAACAGAAGATTCTACCAAGAGGGGCTGTGACAGCTCTCTGTATATAGAAATTTCCATGTCTCCTACACCTAAACCCTAATTAAGAGTGTATTTTCCAAAAGTAAGGAAAGTGAAACATGTTGTACAGCATTGCACTATTAGTTATTCTCCACAAGAACTGCCATTTGCAATAGTTTATTATAATCACCTAATATTGGAAGCAGAAGTTGTGATAGATTTGCCACATTATTTCTTAATGACTAAAACTGTCACCTCAGGAGCCCGCTTGTTTTGTTCTGTGAAGGGAACTGCAGGTGCTTGATACAAATTTAAAGATTTAATATTGCTGCTCATGCTTCCTGCCAATATGAATGCTTTATTTGCTGTGCAAGTGATCCACACTGAATGAAAAGTATTCTGGCCTTAAGTTACCTGAGTGGTAGGGAATAAGAGAAGATTTTTTTTGGCCTCTCTCCAGTGACAGTTTAAAACAATGTTAAATCCTATACTTTCTTTCTTCCCCTTCCCCAACAGGGAAGGATTTAATGGCTTTCCAGGTAGGCTCAGCAGCTGATGAGGAATGTATCTGAGGGATGTCATAACCTTGTTTATCAGCAGTGTTTTAAAGCCTTGTCAGAGGGCTGATGATGCTGAGCATCTTTTAACTTTCTCTAAGGTGGGAGTTAAAGCATTTGGCACTCATCTGGATAAAGGAAGCAGGATTTGTCCTGGGAATTTTTAAATAATACTGTTAAATATATAGTCAGTCAAATAATTTTGGTACCCATTACTCATTCTCCTCTGTTAATATACCCTTGGGCAGAAGGCAGAAATACACTGTGGTGCACACTTCACAGTGTTTTGGGGGCACACAGGGAGGTCAGCCTCAGAAAGAAGCAGTGCCTCAAGTCCTCTAGTCTGTTAGCTGTGTTGAGGCATGAGGATTGGCAATTAGTGACAGCATTTCTTTTTCAGAACAAGCCCTGAGAGAGATCCCCTCATCCTGCTGTCCCGAGAAAACCCAGAACTTGTTGACGCTGAGTACACTAAAAACCAGGCTTGGAAATCTGAAAAGGTGTGTGGGTGTTTGTCTGTCTGTCTCCTGAGTGTGAAGGCCAGAAAGGGTGGCACTGCAGGACGGCTTTGATGGAGAGAAACATCTTGTTGGAGAGTTGTGGGTGATCCTTTAGAGTGGGGGAGGTTTGTACTTCCCTTGATGGCCGCACCTCTCTGGCACATGAAAGCAAGGAGTCTCTGGAGCCTGGCAGGCCAAACGCTTTCCTTCCTTCCACGCTTGTTGTTCAAGGAAAGGAGAACACATAAGAAAATGAATCTCTGCCAATCTCCTCTCCCACAACAACAAAATTGGCCAACCCTTCCCCTTCTTGTCTCTGAGCTGCCTCTCTGGTGTTGTCAGTCTTCAAACCTTTTTCTGTTTGCTCCATTTCTTGATCCTATTGTGGATAACTTTCTGATAACTGTTGCTGATAACTTTTTAGTTTCTTACTTAGTCTACAGTCCAGCTCTCTCCAGACAGTCTTGGCTAATCCAGTTACACTTGGCTTCACACAGTCCATTGTCCCAAGCTGTTTTCTACTCTATAGCTGCCAACAAAACATTATCATTTAATGTGTTTGTGCTGGCATTCACTTACAGGCAGTGTGTAATTTACTGAGCTTTTTTTCATGTTTGAAGGGCTGGGAATTCTTTATGATCCTTCTAACAGCCCACCAGAGAAGGTTTTCTCAGAAGTGGGAATGGAAGCTTTTGACACCTTACCTTTGTTTCTAAGTGAGAAGGAAAACAAGTTAAATAACCATTTGAAGCTTACTGTTTTGTTTTGCTTTTGAATTCTCTTTATTTTAAGGACACCTTAGGAAAGCCTCCTGCAAAGGAAATTCCACTGGTTGATCACTGCAAATACAAGTAAGAGTTTTGGTTAGTAAAGCTGTTCAAGGTCTGTGGGTTAGTCATTTCTTGCATGGTGTAGGGTCTCATTTTATTTTAAGGTCTAATTCAACAACCAGCTTCATGCAGATGTGAAAGCTTGTGAGCAGATATAAGACAGCTGAAAATTTGGTAGCTTAGCATGACAAGTGCTACCACTGGGTGTATGTAGTAAAAGAGAGAACCTGAAATTTGATGGAGCAGACCCAGTATTAATTCATACTTTTTATGTTGTTTAGGAGAATGTGGTTTTGATTTACAAAGGTTTTTATTCTTTAACTGCTTAATGAGGGTTTTTTGGTGTAACACTCTCACAGGTTTCTATGTGCAATATAAACTCTTAGTGTGTATGCACTTGTGTGTCAGATGTTTTGCTTTTTCTTCTGCTAGTTGTGATTCTGCCAGCCAGAATCTGCTGATATAAGAGCTCAGTCATTTGGCTGAATCTGTGTTTTTGTGCAAATGTGATTGACTTGTCTCATTTTGTATTTCACTAGACTGAAGCACAGATTTCTCCCTTCTGTTACACATACACTGCCCAACTCTGGTGCTCCCCAGCCCATCATATGGTGTAGGCTGAGACCTTCTCACACACTTTTGCTGCAGCCCAGGGTGGTAGGGTCAACATGAACTTTTGTCTGCTCCTTTCAGTGTAGGTGTTACAGCAGGGTGAGGTCATGGATGGTGGGAGCTGTGTCTCAAATTGGACAGAGGAATCTCCTTGCTTCCAGACCATCATTCTTGTTACATCTCTACATGTATTTGTTCAGTTCCTAATACAGTGAGCTGCTCATCCCTGCCTTGAGATCCTAGGTAGTATGAAGGATGCAAAGTGATTTCAGATTTACTCCTTGTTATTTGCTGCTAAACTAAGTTTAGCTGTAATTCCCATCTTGCACAAAATATATATAATATATAAGCTCCATCTTGCCCAAAATAGTTTCATTAAAGGAAGAACTCTCTTCCCCCAGCCCAAAATGTTTGACTTCAAAGATCAGTTATGTTCTGGGGAGGTTTACCCGTAGGAAAAATAGCTTTCCATATAATAGGAGAAATGTGGGTTTGATAAAGAAAACAAGTAAGCAAACAAACATCCCTATGAGATACAGTTTGCTAAGAGAAATATCCCCTTGCCACAGTCAAGCCCACTTTACTAACTTGGCAGAAAATACTGAAAACAAAATTGTGGATTCTTCGTTATCTGCTAAGTCCATCTGTTGTGTGCTGGCCCATTTAACCTCCTAGGGTTACATTCCCAAGTTAATATCAAACAATTACATTCAGATTAAAGCAGAATCCCAGAGGAAAAAAATAACCTGAGATTGATGTGGCAAAGCACAAGGATGAGTAGAAAAGCTTCACGGCAAGGCAAGAGATAATTGGGAAAAATTTCCTTGTGGTTGACAAAGCCTCTGGGTGACCCCATAGGGTCACAGAATCCATGCTGTGACCTTCCATGCCTTGCTGGCAATTGTCCACGGGGCCTCATTGGTTTGTCACAGGTGCCTTTATCAAAGGTAAAGCCTCACAACTTGAATTTCTCACTGAGTTTTGACAGACAGCAGAAACTCACCTTAACTTCAGCTCACCTTTCCTGTGAGCAGCTCCAGATAAATACCTTTCCTCTGCTTTAGTGACTGCTGTGCTGCCCAGCTGCTGCCTGCCAGGGAAGGTTCACTGCTGCCTGGAGACCAGCACACCTCTAACCAGGTGCCTCTCTTTGCTCCCCTGTTGAAGGTACCTGTTTAATTTCCGGGGAGTGGCGGCCAGTTTCCGCCTGAAGCACCTTTTCCTGTGCGGCTCGCTCGTCTTCCACGTTGGAGAGGAGTGGTTGGAGTTCTTCTACCCCCAGCTGAAGCCTTGGGTCCACTACATCCCAGTGCAGTCAGACCTCTCTGATGTCAGGTGTGGGGCCTGAGGCTGCTCCCTGGAGCATTCCATACCGTGGGGAAGCCTTTGGGAAGGGGGGATGATTTGTGGTAGGCTGTGTGATGCCTTGGAGTGAAGTGCCTCCACTCTGAGGCATCAGGCAAGGACTCTTGGAGCTCATGGTCTTTTCATCACTGCCCCCAGAGAATCCTTTGCTTGGGGAGTACAGTTTCACTGGAGTAAGTCTTTCACTCTCACTGAAATCAGCAGGCACTAGACACTTACATTTACAAGTGGGCAGCAGAGATAAGGGGGAAGAAGAACTTATCAGTGGGCCAAAAATGTGTTAGCTCCCAGATTTCAGGATGTTGTCCAGAACTGATGGGAAACTATCAAGAAGAGAAGTTTCTTCTGTGCTCTGACGTGAGCACCACTTTCACCTACTCGTATACTCTTAACCTCAACCTCCCCAACAATTTAGCCAAGGGGTGATGTTCTCCACTGAGCCAGTTGTTTCATAGATTTTTTTGTGTGTGTCTTCATTTTAGGGAGCTCTTGCAGTTTGTAAAGGAAAATGATGCCATAGCACAAGAAATTTCAGAGAGGTAAGTAGCATGTCCTACCTGGCTATTAGGCAGTCTTCTTCCAAAACATTTTCTTACACTGCTTTTGATCAGGTTGCCCATCAAAGACCACCCAGTATTGGTAGGGTGCAGTATAACTGACCTTCTGCAGTGAGAGCAAGCAGAGGGAAGCAGAGAGCAGGATGCTGTGCTCTTTGGTTCACATGTGACCCACATCAGGAACCCCATGGAAAGCTGGCAGAGGTTGGGAGCTTTCATCTCAGTATGGGACATGCTGGCTCCTGGGAGCTGTGTCTGCACTGTAACCATTATCTATCCAGGCTGGTCTGAAGCAGCATGCATCAGTGCTGCTCTAGCTGCATGTCAGAATTGAAATCTGATATTTATTATCCCAGATAGCAAATACCATCCTGAGGATAGCCAAAGCACTGCAACGTCAGGGCTGTGAACATGAATGAAAACTGTAAAATTAAAACAGACAGTACAGAGCAGTGCATGTTTCTCATTTGAAACAAGGAAGTGTGAAAGTTGATATACATCCAAACCAGAACTAATGACTCTTGTAGGAACTGGCAAATAGATAGGCCTGACTGTGCCTTGTGTGTCTCTAGGGGACGTCAGTTCATCACTGAGCACTTGGACATGGAGGACATCTCTTGCTACTGGGAGCATCTGCTGTCTGAATATTCCCAAATCTTGACTTACAAAGTGAAAAGGAGGAAGAGCTACAACGAGATCACTTCTGGACAGCTGAAAACAGAACTGTAGAGACTTCTCTGTTTTTTTCTTTGGCTCAAACTGATCACTGTGGAAATCTGAAGATCAGTATTTACTTACTTCTTGCTCTCTCAGACTTACCTTTCACAGCAGAACTACAGAGAAGTCAGCAGCAGGCTGACTTGGACATGGCTTCAAGCCACTGGGACCTGGTTATATTGTCACCACAAGAATGTTAAGCAGCATATGGGATTAAGATTACTTAGTGGGGTGGTCAGTCATGCCTAGAGGAGGGATGCTAGCATTTAGGACTTAGTTACTACCTGTCTCAAAATGATCCTGAATCCCATTCAGTCGATGAGAAGCCTTACTGGACTTTTTACCAAAGGTCATGGTGAAGGACAGACTGAGAGCTGCACTCAGCTAGTAAATACTTGCCACTTTGTTTGGCAAATGTTTTCCCAGCTGGATGATAGCACTTGGGGTATTAGGTGTTCTCTGACAGAAGCAGGTACAGGGATTTGGGGCTTACTTTTCTGGATAGCTTAGAGTTTATGTTGGGTTTTAGAGGTTGATGGTAAGGTTTTGACATGCCCTTGAAAGGATAACTGATCCTTGCAGAGTTACCCTACCTACCTCACAGGGGACCAGCATGTGCTGGTGATGGGGCCATCATCAGTGATGTGCCTGGCAAGTGAGACAGAGATGGTTCATCCTCCAGCAGATGAGCTGGGTGCCTGCACAACTGAGCCCCTGTTAATTATCTCTCACCAGCTGCCTGGCCAGACAGCCTGGGATGTCATCCTTAGGAACTCAGAGAAAGTATTCACAGAGTTAGATTCAGCACTTCCTTTTTCCAAAAGTGCAGAGTCTGCTCTGATTCCCTTCTGTAATCCTTCCAGGATTATTTTGGGTTTTTTTGGTTTGGGGTTTTTTAAGGGTTTGTTTTTTTTGAGACTGCTAAAACATCTACTCACTTCAGTACTTGCTTTTCTTCCCCACAGCTGTGCCACTTCTTTTTTCATCTCCTTCAGCCTGGTTGAGGGAATGTCTTCAGTCACACGGTAGCAGCTACTGCTCACATTACCCATTTCGGGTTGGTCACAGGCTGCTTGTGCTCGCTGTGTTTATGCCCACCACAGCCTCTCAGCTAAGGAGAACTGCAATTCCTGAAATGCTCTGTGCCCCCTTAGGTGAGAGGCTGGGAGGCAGCAGCATCTTCTCTGGCACCCACACAGGAAGAGTGTGGGGTGGCAGGAGGGACACAGGAGCCTGCCAGGGAAGCACCCCTGTTGGTAAAGCAGCCTCGAGGCTGAGAGAGCAGCACATTATAATGGAATATTATTATAATAGCTGTTGCTATTATGGATAGCAACAGCTCTCAGGCTCCTCTGCAGTCAGTGTGGACCAGGGAAGAAGGAAATTGCATGGAACAATAATATTTGTGTCCCCTCACAGAGGCCTTGCAGCCCTGGAGCAGGGACATAGCAGCTGGCCCTATGGATCAAGTGCTGGTTGCTGGGGCAGTGTGTTGGTTTTGGGACCAGTGCTGGGGTTATCCCATCCAGCAAAGGAAACAGAATGGGGCATTAAAAGAACCTGATTTCCCAGAAAAACTGTGCCAGAGTGGAAAGGGTTTCCTGGTTTTCTATTTTTAGCCAACAGAGAGACAGCACTCCAAGAAACTGAACAGCTCTGTATGATATTTTAAAACCATTTGTAACAAAGTGTTTTTTAGAATAAAACAAACAAAAATGAAGTTTTGCTGACTGCATGTTGCTTCATCAGAAGAGTGATAAGAGATCTGCAGAGCCTCACCTTTTCCACTTGTAGATCTTGCAATGAGAATTGACTGTTGCAGCTTAGGTGGCCCTTGGCCAAAGTGATGGTTGGGCAGGAGTGGGGGAAGAATCCCGGGAATTCCAGTCCCATAAAATATGCACAGGCTCGATGGGAAGGCGCAGGCACTTCCCCTGGTGGGGAGCTTTCGCTGCTTTGGTGAAAGGAGGATTCACAACAGAGAGAGTTGAGCTGTTTCAGGGAAGGCAGTGAGAGGCCCCATGTCGCCGCGCAGGATTTGCCTCTTCAAAGCCCGGGGACTGCTCCCCATCGCAGCCCCCAAAACTCAGCTCCTCTCTCACGGGGGGGGACAAACCTGGCCCTGCACAGACGGGCAAATATTTGCAGTAATTAACCAGTAATTAACGCAGAGCCGAGCGGTTCGGAGCCGCTC